TTCAACTTGAAAGAGATTTCACTATAGTTAGGATTAGTGTACAACTTTCTTTCTAACCTATAGGGAGATCAAAGGCTCTTAAATACCTTTAAGATCTAAACACCAAGTGCAATGAGAACAATCCTCTCTAATGCACACACTTGCTTTCACCAATCCTGAACAGCAAGGGGAAATACATACAATTCTGATTTTTGTAATGATTTATAACAATATATACAATTGTTTATCAATGCTGAGATTGATCTTCTCTTTCAATGGGAAATTCCACAAGTTTCTAAGACTTATTGCTCAAGAATTTTCTTTTCAAAGGATATGAAATTTATGCAGAAAATTCTTTGTGAAAATTGATTTTTCTTAGAAGTGGAAAGATGAAATTATGATACAGATTTTGAAAGAGAATCGAAAGAGATGTTGTAAAAGTTGTTTTTGAATTTTGAAAGAGTTAGATATTTATATTACATAAACACCTCTTGAGAAAAACATGCAAATCTCCAGAAAAATTGATGAATAGTTGTCATGTTTCAAAGGAAACATTCCACAGAAATTCGATTGAAGAGATGCAATTTTTTAGAAAGATTTTTCAAAAATGTTCAGTGAGCAATCGATTGCACAAAGAGACCAATCGATTGCACCTTCACAAAATTACTTGAAAATTCAAAATTTCAAAAGAGCAATCAATTGCACCTTTGGACCAATCGATTGCACTTCAAAACAGAAGTGAAAAATTTGAAAAATTTTAAGCATGCAATTGATTGCATCAAAGCAACAATCGATTGCTTACTGAAACAGAAGCAAAAATGAGTTAAAAGATTGATCATGCAATTGATTGCTCTAGGAGTGCAATCGATTGCACTTACAAAAACTTATAAAAATTCTCATTTTTAAAAGCTTGTATTAGTGAAAAGAATGTAAATAATCTTTTAAAGTTTTGAGCAATTAGGACTTAAATACTTAATGGAAGTTCTCATTATACCTTCTGAGGAAAACATCCTTAAAGTTGTGTCTTTGTCCTGATGCTTGGTGGTTGATCATCTTTGTCTTCTTAAGTGGTTTGCCTTCATCAAAACATATGTTGATCTCTGAGAATCTTGATTTCACAAAAGGAATGTAGGGCCACACCCGTTTTTCTTCTTTCCCTCTTTTTCCTTTGCAAACTCCCATCAATCATGATAAAAACATGTAATGGACTTAAAAAACAAAACTTGAACTTTGTAATGTACATCTTTTGCTAATAGACATTATTTTCCATCTCGTGACATTGGATTTGTATATTCGAAGTGGGTAGTGATTTAGAAAGGATTTTCGACCCGAAATGGCATAATGGACTTGAATTTGAAGAAATTAATTTGGACCTTGAACATTGACTTAAAATGAAATTTAAAAATATTTTAATTAAAATGAAGATGGAAATAGATTGTAATTAAAATTGAATTTCAAATTGTAACTTAAAACTTGAACCAAATTAAAGTGGAATTAAAACTTGTATTAAAAAAAAATTGGAATTTTGACATTGAAATTTGAACATTGAATTGAACTTGAGATTGATATGAAACTTGAACTTAAAGAATATGGATTGAAATTTGGGAAGAAAATTTGAAATGGAGATGAGCTTGATTGGAAAATAGAATCGAAATTTAAATTGAATCAAAATAGGATTGAAGTTGAAATTGGAGATGGATTGGATAATGAGAATTTGATAAGAACGTAAATGAGTTTTAAAAAAAATGGATTTTTGGAGAAAGAATGGACTTTTAATATAATTGTAATTTGAACCAAACCAAGAATCATATCCACAAGTGAACCACTTGAAACAATTTTGACACTCCTGACTTGATCCAACAAAGCCTCCTCAAAGCCAAATTTCCACATTTTGAACTCTTCACCAAAATCATACCAGAAATGTAGTGAAATACTGAATTAATTCCATAAGAAGTGACGACACATACTGATTCCACCTTTGAAATGGTGTTGATGTGAATAGAAAGCTCGAATTCTGAATGAATGTCATGAATTGATGGCTCTTACAGTATGACCTCATGAGATAAACATGAGTTTCGCACCAAGCCTTACTTGATCTTCAAACATAGGTATTTGAATTCAATCCACACTTGCCTTGAAACAAGCTTCCTTTGCCACAGCCTGATAATTTGTTCCTGAAATAAAACACATTGAGCCTGCTAGCCCCAAACTTAACTGAACTGCACTTGCTCGCAAAGGCTGAGAAGCCCTAATCTTTGCTTCGAGCCCACACTGATGCAACAATGACTTGCTGAGGGCCAAATCCCTAATTCAGAGTCTTTTCTACAACCTGATAACTTGACATGATAAATTTTCCTGATCCTTGATTCAATCTTGTAAGAGGGAAAGGAAAATATTGAGGGAAAGGAAAATATCGATAAAACCTTTAGGGAAAGAACATGGTCATCGCAACCAAGTTCTAGGTTTGAGAGCCGATTACATGAAGGGAAGGTATTAGCACCCCTCACGTTCGTTGTACTCAATGAGAACCTCTTGATTCAATTTGTAAGAAAGGTTAGTCTCATTTGTTTATGTTCTTCCAAGGAAATAAAGCGTAAAGGTAAGTAAAAGAGTTTAGATTTCTAGGGAGAATGAGTGGTTTTAGAAAAGAGTGCTCGCCAAGACTTGGGGCCTTTGTGCCTACGTATTTTCACTCGAAAGAAGTGAAGAATCAGAGCATCTGTAGTTCGTGGGACTACGGGAGAAAGAAGGAAATTGTGGGAAAAGTGGAAATGTGAAGGAAATGTGCTCGCCAAGATCATCGCAATCTTGTGGCTACGTATTCTCGTTAACAAACGAGAAATCAGAGCGTCCGTAGTTCGGACTGCTACGGGTAAAGGTTTGGATAGAAAAAGAAAGAGGTTACTCTCTAGGATCTCACAATCCTATGCCTGCGTATTCTCGTTAGCAGACGAGAAATCAGAGCATCCGTAGTTCGGACTGCTACGGGTTGAGAAGGTCTCGACCGCACTAGGGTGAGAGAAAAGGTAAGTTAGTTGTTAGTGTGCTCGTCAAGGATAGAGACCCTCGTGCCTACGTATCTTACATTTAGAAGAGAATGAAGAATCAGAGCAGTCGTAGTTCGGCCTACGGTTGCTGGTTTGACTTAACGAAAGATACTTAGTCGTATTCGACAGAAAATATTGCTTTATCTAAACTAGTGAGGAGATGACGCTTGCACCACTGTGAATGGATTTCCATATATCAACATTCATGGGGAACACGCCACTTATATCGACTCAAGTAGGTTACGGACGAAGCAATATTTTGTGTTTGAAAAGAAAAGATTTGAATAGGTTTTTAGGATTTTGATCGCACGAGGGCGAGGAAACGAGGTTTGACGTAAGGGTGCTTAGCTAGAGGTGACGATTACCTGAAGCTTAAGAAAGGCTTCTCGGGCCCAAGTAATCGAGAAAGTTAGTTAAAGGCTTGACTCTCTCTCTTTTTCATCTCAAATGCGAAAGGATAGAACTTTGTTCGAGTAGACGGATCAGATGACGATTACTCAAAGCTTAAGAAAGGCTTCTCGGGCCCAAGTAATCGAGAAAGCGAGTCAAAGGCTTGACTATCTCTCTTTTTCACCCTTAATGGTGAAAGAAGTGAAAATGGCTCGAGTAAGATTGATCATATGACAATTACTTGAAGCTTAAGAAAGGCTTTTTGGGCCCAAGTAATCGGGAAAGCGAGTCAAAGGCTTGACTATCTCTCTTTTCACTCTTAATGTGAAAGGATAGGATTTGGTTCGAGTAGACGGATCGGATGAAGATTACTCGAAGCTTAAGAAAGGCTTCACGGGCCTAAGTAATCGGGAAAGCGAGTCAAAGGCTTGACTCACTCTCTTTTTCATCCTTAACGAAAAAGGAATGGATATAGTTCGAGTAAGATGATCGGATGACGATTACTCGAAGCTTAAGAAAGGCTTCTCGAGTCCAAGTAATCGGGAAAGCGAGTCAAATGCTTGACTCTCTCTTTTTCATTCTTAACGGAGAGGGAATGAATATGGTTCGAGTAAGATGATCAGATGACGATTACTCGAAGCTTAAGAAAGGCTTCTCGGGCCCAAGTAATCGGGAAAGCGAGTCAAAGGCTTGACTCTCTCTCTTTTTCATCTAAGTGTTTAGAAAATATATTTAAATTCGTTTCGCGTGGTATATCTTTTAAAGAAGACAATTGTTTGGACTTAAGAAAGGTTCCTCGAGCCCAAACAATTGAGAAGAGAAATCAAAGGCTCGATTCCAACTCCATTTTCATCTTTATCGAAATTGTATTTAGATATGATTAAGTATATTGATTTAATTTAAAGAAAATACTCAACGTGAATCGAGGTTTGAAATTTGCGTGTGAAGGAATGCAAAGATGAGAAAGAAAATAATTAGGGAAAGTCAATTCCTAAATTTCCACGTAAAGGGGATTGCAAACCTGACAAATACCATACCTTTAGCTTAATCATGAACTACACTGAGCTAAGAATCGATTAAGAGTGAAAACTCCTCGATTAACAATAAGTAAAAGCAGTAGCCATGACAGCACTTCAACACAACACCGTTGTAATCTCAAGCACACAGCTCCTATCTTCAAAATGGAAGTGTATTCATCAACATCTTTACCTACATTAAAGCCACGCATGGGCCTCCGTAAGATTTTGCAACAAGTTTTGAACCCAGCATGCTCATAATTCACGGTTCATAAAAACAATGAAGATGACACGATTTTCACAACCAACAACCACACATCCTTCATCATAATAAAATAGGGTCAAAGCACACAAAAAAGCAGAGTCAGAATGCTAAAAGTAAATAATGAAAGTCAAAGGAAATCATCCAAATTGAAGCAGAAATTAGGGATAGCTCGAATCAACGATTTTCAGAATCTCCACAAATTCACCATCGCGCTGGAAGAAGAAGAAAACATTGACGGTGAAATCGACCCTGTTCCGATGATTTAGGAGTAAAACGAGGAAGCGGTGGTTTCTATTGTGAGAAATGTTCTGGTTTCATGGAAAACGAGATCGGAGGAGTGAATATGGTGAATCTGTTTGTAGATATGGTGTATGCTTGAATGGTTTTGAGGTGACTGAGTGGTGTTTTTTTTATGCGGTTTATTCTTGGTTCCGTTTTTTTCGGAGAAATAAATCGGTGGTGGTAACAATGTTAAAGGTTGGAGAGAGGGTTTTGTGGGTTCAACAGGGTTGGTGTCTCAAGATTCGGTTAGAATGGGTACCAGTTTTTTTGAAAGAAGATTTTGGGTTTGTGATTGCCGTTGGATGTTCTGAAGAAGGAGATACCGAGGACGACAAAACAATGGTAAGGTGATGATCGGTTGTGGGTTCTGGACCTCCTCCTAATTTTGTTGTTGTATTTCCGTATTTATGAACGTTCCGTTTTTTTAAAAATTTTTATTCGTACCATTTGCTGCAGATTTGTACAAATTACAGCAGGTTTTGTCGCACGTGGCTGCTTTCTTTCATTTTTCCTTGCCATTTGATGATACCAAAACTGGTGGTAAAGAGGGGAGTCTCGTCTGGTCTTGGCAATTGTGGTAAATGAGGTGAGACCGTAGACTTTTGCCAGCTGGTGCTTTGTGTAGCAGTCAATATGAAGATGGTGTAGTAGCTGGGGTGTTGGTGCGCGTGGTAGCAGGTTTTTGGAGTATGTGGTGCAGGCTTGTACAGCCTGGTGTAGCAGGGGGCAGGCTAGTTTTGTCATGTTTTGGAAGGACTTTGCAGTGCTGTTGTTTTTTTTTCATTTTTGTAATAAGAAAAAGTGGTCCCCTGTTTGAAATTTGTTGAATTAATTTGAATTGCAACTTAATTGTTTTGTAGGTGATGAATGGGCTTGAAATTATTTGCAAAAGCTTGAAGTATATGGTATGAAGAACAGCAGGAATAAGTGTGAAAGGTTAGTTGTTCGTTGCGAGACCGAGACGGAGCACACGAGCTGTGGTGATGACAGCATGTTATATTGATACATATTGGTCCCTATTACCTTTAGCCGATGAAGATCCGAAGTAGAAAAAACGGGGAATATGTTGATGATAATGAGGATTGGAACCTGAACTCACAGTAGAGGGATTTATTGTTGTGAAGAACAAAAAGAAGTTGTTGAAGAAATTGAAGGTTTTACATTCTTGTTCAAGGTAAATTTCTCCTCTCCAATTTTATCTCCTCTTCCTCTGAAGTTTGATTCCTGCATTCATGATCATGCTTTAAATTGGAGCCAATAGATTATGTCTCATAATTTCTTTTCAACTAAATTGAATTGGCAGAGTGATGACGGCTTGCTACGAGATGTAGAATGGAGAACCGGCTGGTTGTATCACGCGGTACGGGTTCGCGTGTTGTAGGCTATAAGTTTTATTCTTTTTATGTGTTGCAGTAAATTGGTTTATTTGGCAAAAACATACTGCTGCGGTTTACGTTTGCAGGTAGTAACTGGTGCATTGTTTCGGTTCCTGCAGCGTGGGTCGTAGTGTACGATCATAGAGTTGATGTTTGAAAGGATGATTCCAAAGCCATGTCAATGCGAAAAGTTAGGTTGTCAGTTATTTTAGTTGGAATTCTTCTTCAAGCAGATCCTAAGATTGAATTTCCTCTTCAGCTTGTTTAAACATTCAAGGAGCGTCAAAGGGTAGGATGTGGGAATGACTAGCCGAGAATCAAATCATGTGTCTCTGTTTCAAACTGATGTCCTCTATGATCGATATGCAGGAGCTACTTAGCTTCTATTTGAGTACATGGGATCCCTTTCTTCAATGAAACTGGCAAACATAGCTGAGAGGAAGAGACCATTTGCTCTTTGGTACCTATATGCAACTATTGAGCAGCTAATGGTTCTTTGCTGAATTACTCTAAAATCGAGGTTCGGTTCAGGTGATACAATATCTGTGTTATTGAATTCTACCGGAGGTGGTAGTCCTTCATTATTTGATGTGTTTACCAGCATAACTTTTGGCGAATGACGTAAATTATTAGCTGGAAAATACATAGCAGTAAAACAACATGCCATGACAGTCACGCAGTTTGGATCATGGCAGTCAGCCAAAAAAATGTTCAGGAAATATCGTCGGCGAGGACGTATCGAACAAACTTGGATAGGTCACCCCTTCACTCTTCTATTCTCGCATCATAGTGGTCATTTGACTATGATTTCCTCTGTAATAGCCTTCCATTGTTTGCTTTATATTATTATTTTTTTGGAACTTGTCTCGGTTACAGCTTCACGTCATGGATAGGATGCCATGGAAACTGGCTCAGTCAAGCGTCATCATGAAGGTTGGAGAAAGATGTTAGATGTATAGGATACTGTTCGGGTTATTATTATTATTATTTTTCTTTTGGAACTTTATTGCATTTTGTTTCCAATTGTTTGGACTTGTAAAACTCTGTAGCAAGTAAAGGAATTAAATTTCAATGAATTTGGATTAAAGGTTTTTTCGTGTAAACTTTTTTTGTAGGAATAGACATGGGGATTTGGACGGTTTTAGAACAATGAAATGAATCCTTCTTGGCAATGCAACTTGAATTAAGATTGAATGAAATTTGAATAGAAAAAATAGAAAATTGGACGTGAAATTGGAGATTGAACATAGACATTGAACATAGACATGAATGGAGAAGTGGAACTTTAGTCTTGTCAAAATCTTGTAACTGGCATAAATGGGTGAAAACTGAAATTGGATTTTAAATGAATTGTAACTTGACAGTGATTGAATTTGAAACTCGAAATTGAAACTTTGCCACGAATTTGAAAATTTGAATCTTAAGGAAAAATTACAAAATGAAAATTGAATGACTACGAATGACCATGGAATTAGGAATTTGAAATTTTGAGTCACAATTTGGATTTGGAAATGCATCTTGAAATTCTGAGTGACATTTGAAATTTTGAATAGGTGACACTCCCGATTTGAACCAATGAAACTCAATCTCGGAACCAAATTTTTAGAAACTCGAACTCTCAATAAACTCATACTAGAAGGGCAATTTGATATCTTGAATAAATTCCACCAAATCTTGATTCCATCTTGAAATGGTATTGAATTGAATAGAAAGCTTGAATTCTCCGATGACAAGAATATGAACCACTTAATTAGGACTTGCAAAATGACTGGAAATTTTGACCAAATATCTTGACTTTGATGGCTCTGCAACTTGACCTTATCAGATAAACCTGAACTTTGTATAAAACCCGGACCTGGATCCTTAAATAGAAGTACCTGAATTTAATCCATACTTGTCCTCAAAGTAGCCCATGACACAGATGATTTGTGATCTGAACTGCATTGCAACTTTACCAAGACCCTAATTGAAATTCACCTAACCCTGATGATTTTCCATCTTGAAACAAATTGCATTTGCCACAGCCCGATGAATTGTTCCTAAAACAAACCACATGGAGCCCGCTAGCCTCAAATGAAACTTAACTAAATAGCACTTGCTCACAAAGGCTGAGAAACCCTAATCTTCGTCTCGAGTGCACCCTGATGCAACAATGACTTGCTGAGGACCAAAACCCTGATTCAGAATCTTTTCCACTACCTGATAACTTGACATGATAACATTTCTTGATCCTTGATTCAATATTGCAAGTCCCGAGCAAAGGACATATACTTCTAAGGCATAATGATTAGATGCACAAGTGATGAAAATGCTATGCTATGCACAGGTGGCGAACCAGGGTCAAAATTAGGGTGTAATAGTTACTACTGAGTTGTTATTGAGTTTTTGGGGAAGAGCTGAGGTTAAAGCAACTTACTTGGTTGGTAGGGAATTTCTTCAGAAGAGGAATAGTGAAAACCAGGGGAGAAACCTGGGAGAAACTATAACGGAGAAAACTCAGTTTGAGGTGGAGTTTCCTACTATGGATGCTAGCAGTAGTGAGGAAGCAGTTACAGAGATCTATGATTATCATTTGACTCATGATAAGGTAAGGAGGATTATTGTAGCATCTCAAAGGGACGACTATGCTAGCCTTGGATATTATGTTTTTAATGTGGCTGAAGGATTGCAAAATAAAAGAAGAAAAACCTTCAGGGACGCATTTGAAAATAGGTGGAGTCAAGGATGGTTGCAAAATCATACTTGTAGGCTTGTTAAATTACCTAGGCAGAAAAGGGTAATTGGGAACAAGTGGATGTAAGTTGTGAGACCAAGATTCAAGGGTTGCTTGAATTTAATCAAAATTATTGATTAAAGTGTCAAGTTGGTATAGAGCAACAATGTTGTTGATTGTAAAATTGGTATCGACACGGTTTAAAGTCAAGGTGGAGGTTGTTGTAAATGTGGCTTAAAACCTTTGTTGATGAAGATAAAGAAAACATATTTTGGAGATTGTATTTACTGCGAAAATCAGAAGTTTTTTTTAGAAATTCAGACGAAAAGTCGAGAAAAAAAATCGGTCGGTGAATAGTTTCGTCCGTACGGTGAATAGTGTTATCCGTATGGATGAATAGTGACGTCTGTACGGTGAATAGTGTTGTCTGTACGGTGAATAGTGTTTTCATATTTTCGGGATTTTTTTGATTCGTTCCATGGATCCATGTGATTTTGGGCTTTGTTTGTTGGGTATTTGCTATTATAAATATGTATCTCTTATATGCTTGGTGTGACAATCTTAGAGTTTTCACCAACAAGGGAGACCAAGGGTTTAAAGGTATAGCATAGGGTTTCAGCTATGCACAAAGAAAACCTTGGATTACATCTTGGGTTTGAGTGATTCATATATTGAGAGTTGGAGAGGTAGGGAAACACTTGGGTAGAAAATAGGGTTGTTCTTGGGCGCCTTCAGGGTTGTTCTTGGGAACTTGAAGGCGAAGGATATTTTCTTGTAACTCATTTGTAATCTCTTGTAACAATTTTATGAGTATAGTAAATTGGAGAGCTGCTCTCTCCCCTATAGTAGATCGTTTGATCGAACTAGGTAAACAAACCTTCAGTTTTTTCTTGCCTTATTCTGTTATATTATCTGTGTGCGAATTATTATTGCTGAAGACCATTTATTTTGGTTGCTATTGTTCTTTACCTCACAAATTGATATTGAATTTTGTCGTAATTCAAAACAAGATTCACAATAGTACACCACCCAAATTGACCAATTTGCATAAAGATATATTTCATACAGTATGAATATATTTATATATACCCACACACACACACACACACACGCGCGCGCGCGCACACACACACACACACACACACACACACACACACACACACACACACACACACACACACACACACATATATATATATATATATATATATATATATATATATATATATATATATATATATATATATATATATATATATATATATATATATATATATATATATATATATATATATATATATATATATTATGCAATCATAACAACATCATTAAACATACTCATATTCCACCATTAACATCACAACAACATATTTATAATAACATTATAGTTTCGTCACTTGCAACAAGACTTCTTAACATATGCAACAATTAATA